ATCCGATTGTTTGGAAATTAAATTCTAAAAATACGAAAATGCAGCTTTTAAGGAAAGTATTTGTTAAGTCCCTCTGTTTTCAGGACATGTTGTGCGATTATACCGACGAGTTTGTAAACGAGCTCGTAAGCCATGTTTGCAAGCTGGTCAAACATCGCGGCAATCATCGAATCGAAGCCAGGGATGTAGAGTTCGTACTCGATTTGGTTTACAAAATGCCGTCAGCTCCTCGTGCATCTGTTCATGTATTTGGAGCACCAGCACCGATACGTCCCGACCGTATCACGCCACAGCCCACCGAGGCGCACAAACAACGCATGTTACTCATCAAAAAAGTGGTGAAGAAACCTTGATTGAATTAGTGCGTACGTGGATAATTGATTTGGTATAGTTTGCGGGTTTTTTTGTGATGTTTTTGTTTACTTTGACGTATAGGTAATTTTCCTCTTTTCCATTTCAATAACATCTTTTTCTTTAAAGACCATTTCACTTTCTGTTGTTTCCGTTCTCAAGAGATGAATCCTGGCTTAAAACTTTTCTTTCCATTTTGAAAGGCCTCATCGATCCAAACAGGTGTCATCAATATAATCATACTGTTTGAAAGTATGTAAATTACATTATTTCGATAGGATAAAAACCATTTCATTGATATCATCGTTCAACATTGCGTAGATGGTCTATCTGCCGAAGAAGCCTTCAGCTGTTTGTTTGACCTTTTCCTTCTATAGCTGTTTTTGAAGTTAAACAGTTTTAGAGTAGTTTTGAGAGATCCGCTACAGGTGTTTTCTCTTCCTATGGAGTAGATTATCAGAAAAGATTGCACTAAAAATGTAATGTAGATGTTAGTTCGCTTGAACTAGCTGTTTCTATCAAACTACAAGACATCTCGCTGTAAAAATGTATGTAAATCGAATTTGCTTCCCATTATTAATTTGATTGAATAATTATATAAAAGTTTTTGTTTTGGGTTTCTTGGTCAATGGCACTGTTCTTATCAGTATTTATGTTGCGTCCACTGCTCTGTTTCGTTGACTGATGTTATCTTCTTGTTTGCAATAGAGAACCGATCGTTACCTCGAAGAACGCTCTTTTCGAAGGTTAGAGCACAGAACACATATAATTCATGACACTAATTCTTTATCAACAAGTCTTCTCGAGTTTTCATTTTACATTCGCGTCCTTAAAGAAGGAAGTGTTTCCAGGTTATAATTTTCCCATTTTTCATAGCCATTCATCTTTTTCTTCTTTCTAGCATCGTGTTTACCTTCTCCAACTAATTCTCTCTTGTTATATTAGGCCGTCTGACCATTTTTGAACTTTTGCCCAAAAAAGACATCTTAATTAGTAATCTATCTATGAATGATCAAGATTTTAATTCATAAGTAGAGGTCAGTAGAGGTTTCTGGTGTTGTTTCATGAAAATTTTCTGCTACAACCGTTGAATTATCACACTGGTACAAACCAAGTGTATTTGTGTAGCTGCATGGCGGTTGCGTCGCGGTTGGACTGAGGTAGGCTAGCCATCACAATGTTAAGCAAAGCTTTCTTTATTCAAATTTTAAAATAATCATTTGCTGCAAGCCGCGCGAAAGTAGAACATGGACCACGAGACAAGCACTGGTTGCGTCACAGTTGCACATTATTTGATTACATATAGTGACGCAACCAACTTTTAAAAGAGGTTTTCGAGTTGTATAAAACTTCTAAATGAGTTCTTGATACTAGTACACATAAAGCAATGAAGACGTCGAGATATTTTTTCTTGCTAGAAGTACTCCAAAGGCATGAACTTCTTTGGCTTTATGATGTGCAATGCTCACGATAAATTTTTTTTTCATTGTTAACACTCCCTCTTTGTTCCCACTTCGATCCTTTTTTATGCTTAAGCGTCACAGAAAATTTGACGAATTCAGGGTTTTTTGTAATGTGTCCTTGAAACGATGTTGAGCCATAGAAAATCTCGGCATTATATGGGAACTCGCAATTTTCCTGTGTAAAGCCAGTTTTTTTTTTCATTTATTGCTATCTAAAACGAAAAATGCAACTCGATTTTCGAACAAAAACAAGTTCGCCT